TGTAGGAATGAAATGATTTGTTCCATATTTGGTCTGAAGCATCCTTGGGTGAAAAGGAACCAATTTTGTATAAACCGTGGGTCTGGCCCCCCAGGGGCCTTAGGGGTGGGCCCAATAGGGGAAATAGAGGTAAAACTTTTAAAATCCTTCTTCAACCATCGGGATTAATGGATTTTATCCTAATTTGGTCTTGAGGATCCTATGGCCAAGGGGACTCAATTTTGTATAAATTGTGGGTATGACCCCCCTAGAGGCATAGGGGTGGGGTTCTGTTTGAAGTTTGTTCTTGCTATATCTCAAGTACTGGGTGGATCTTTCTGAAATTTCATATGTATTTACAGCACCTACCATTGAGTGCTATATCTTTACTTCATACCAATTATTTTAAACACATTCAGGTGAGCGATACAGGCCCTCTTGTTGTATAGAGCTGTTGTATCCTTCATTGTTGTACAGAGCTGTTGTATCCTTCATTGTTGTACAGAGCTGTTGTATCTTTCATTGTTGTACAGAGCTGTTGTATCTTTCAGTTTAGGTTGTTACATCTAGCGTAATATTTCCTATAAAACTCCTATTGGAAGAATTACTGGAAAGCAGCCAGGACAGGGTGGAATATCTTAGGAGAAATAAAGTGAGATGAATGTCTACGATTATCATTAATTGTAGCTGTAGCCCGGTTGTAGGCGAGACCGTCATCAAGGCTCATATGTTATATTGTCCTTACAAAGAGGCTGTATATTTTACATTAATTGTGTCTGGTTCTGAGATTGTCTGGGAAATAATACTGCTCTCAGATCTGTTTATACAGGGGAAGTACTGACTAGTCCTAAAGAGTAAAGTAGTGTAGTGTAATGTCCTTTTCATCTTCTGAACTCTATTGGTTTGTAAATATAGAAATATCTGATTTCTAGCTCACCTGCAAGTGAGCTTATGCCATGGTGGGGTGTCCGTCATCCGGCATCAATATTTTATTTTAAACAACTTCTTCTTAAACCAAAAGGCCTACGGATATGATATTTGACTGGGATAAAGGGCTACCAAGTTTGTTAAAATTAAATACCTTCACCCGTATTCAAGGTCACAGGGGTAAAATATGTTAAAAACTTTAAACAACTTCTTTTGAATAACCAAAAGGGCCAGAATGTTGATATTTCGGCAGTAGCATAGTAGAATGAATTTAAGGGCTATCAAGTTTGTTCAAATGAATGACCTTGAATTATATTTCAAGGTCACAGGGGTCAAATATGGTTAGAATCTTTAAAGGACTTCTTCTTAATAACCAAAAGGCCTAAAATGTTGAAATCTGGTCAGTAGCATGCTGGGATCAAGGGCTACCAAGTTTGTTAAAGTGAATGACTTTCGACTTGTATTCAAGGTCACAGGGGTCAAATTTGTTTAAAATCTTTAAACAACTTCTGAATAAGCATTAGCAAGTAGCATGCTTGGACGAAGGGCTATCAAGCTTTTTCTTTTAAATTACCTTGACACACTTTCAAGGTCACATTTGGTCAAATATGTGCAACTATTTAAATGACCTAATCTCAATAAACAAAAAGATAGGGTGGTGATATTTTGCAAGTTGCATCCTGAGAAGGGCTATTACATTTGTTAAATGTAGTGACCTATTTGACTTTCAAGGTCACAGGGGTGAAATGTTTTAACAGGTTCTTTTGAATGGCTTATAGTAGATAATAAATACTGATATTTTGCCTGTAGCTTTATTTTAGATCACTTTTAAGGTTTCAAGTGGAGATTAATACCAGGTGAGCGATGCAGACCCATTGGGCCTCTGGTTCATAAAGGGGTAGATTTTGGTAGGTGTATAAAAAGCATCTGGGGGTGGGGAGTTGAAGAGAGGTTAGGTAATGACTATAACATAACTGAATGTTTCTAGATGCCTCCCCAAACCTAATTGTTTCCGGAGATTTAAAATTATTTAGGCATAATTTCCTGGTCCTTTGGTTGGAGATTTGGTTGGGTAGGGATGGATAAATATTGCCCAGTAATGTCCTGTTCCACTTCTGAACTCTTTTGATTTACATTATCTGGATACTTTTTGGTTTGGGTATACTGTTTATGTTGGAGTGTGGGTTATTAAATTAATGTGTGAAATTGTTGAGCGTGCAAAACATACAGCTGATTACCTGGTCAGTCGGCAGTCACGTGTAAACAATACAATGTATACAGGTACGTAATATTCTTGTCATCGGGATATACCTGTTCTCGAATTGGTGGTATTTAACGAGGTCAAAATAGTGTGATTTTAACCATTTGTTTTGGGAATATGATGGCAGATGACAGTGTGTGGGTTTTGGCATTACAACGAATGCATTAACGTTGAGGAAATCTGTTTTGAGTAAATTAATGGTGGTATGCAGGTTTGGCTGTTTAACGGGTGGGTAGCATTATAACAGGGTTTTACTGTAATATACATTGTATCCTATTTTCCCTTTTTAACATGCCTGTTTGTTTTTGTCATCACATAATGATCTACAATGTACAATGTATGATGTAAGTATGTAGACATTGTGATCGACAATGTATGATGTATGATGTAAGTGTGTGCACATTGTGATCTACGATGTATGACATAAGTGTGTGCACATTGTGATCTACGATCTATGATGTAAGTGTGTGCACATTGTGATCTATGTTGTAAGTGTGTGCACATTGTGATCTACAATGTATAATGTAAGTGTGTGCACATTATAATCTATGATTGCACATTGTGATCTGCAATGTATTATGTCTACAATGTATGACATAAGTGTGTGCACATTGTGATCTACGATCTATGATGTAAGTGTGTGCACATTGTGATCTGCAATGTATTATGTATGATGTAAGTGTGTGGACATTGTGATCTGCAATGTATAATGTAAGTGTGTGCACATTGTGATCTACGATGAATGATGTAAGTGTGTGCACATTGTGATCTACAATGTATAATGTAAGTGTGTGCACATTGTGATCTATGATGTATGACGTAAGTATGTAGACATTGTGATCTACGATGTATGATGTAAGTGTGTGCACATTGTGATCTATGATGTAAGTGTGTGTACATTGTGATCTACAATGTATGATGTAAGTGTGTGCAGATTGTGATCTACGATGTATGACGTAAGTATGTAGACATTGTGATCTATGATGTAAGTGTGTGCACATTGTGATCTACGATGTACGATGTAAGTGTGTGCACATTGTGATCTACGATGTATGATGTAAGTGTGTGCACATTGTGATCTACGATGTATGATGTAAGTATGTACACATTATAATCTACAATGTATGATGTAAGTATGTACACATTATAATCTACGATGTATGATGTAAGTTTGTACACATTGTGATCTACGATGTATGATGTAAGTGTGTGCACATTGTGATCTACAATGTATGATGTATGATGTAAGTGTGTGCACATTGTGATCTACAATGTATGATGTAAGTGTGTGCATGCACATTGTAATCTATGATGTATGATGTAAGTGTGTGCACATTGTGATCTACGATGTATGATGTAAGTGTGTGCACATTGTGATCTACGATGTATGATGTAAGTGTGTGCACATTGTGATCTACGATGTATGATGTAAGTGTGTGCACATTGTGATCTACGATGTATGATGTAAGTGTGTGCACATTGTGATCTACGATGTATGATGTAAGTGTGTGCACATTGTGATCTACGATGTATGATGTAAGTGTGTGCACATTGTGATCTACGATGTATGATGTAAGTGTGTGCACATTGTGATCTACGATGTATGATGTAAGTGTGTGCACATTGTGATCTACGATGTATGATGTAAGTGTGTGCACATTGTGATCTACGATGTATGATGTAAGTGTGTGCACATTGTGATCTACGATGTATGATGTAAGTGTGTGCACATTGTGATCTACGATGTATGATGTAAGTGTGTGCACATTGTGATCTACGATGTATGATGTAAGTGTGTGCACATTGTGATCTACGATGTATGATGTAAGTGTGTGCACATTGTGATCTACGATGTATGATGTAAGTGTGTGCACATTGTGATCTACGATGTATGATGTAAGTGTGTGCACATTGTGATCTACGATGTATGATGTAAGTGTGTGCACATTGTGATCTACGATGTATGATGTAAGTGTGTGCACATTGTGATCTATGATGTATGATGTAAGTGTGTGCACATTGTGATCTACGATGTATGACGTAAGTGTGTGCACATTGTGATCTACGATGTATGATGTAAGTGTGTGCACATTGTGATCTATGATGTAAGTTTGTACACATTGTGATCTACAATGTATAATGTAAGTGTGTGCACATTGTGATCTATGATGTAAGTGTGTGCACATTGTGATCTACAATGTACAATGTAAGTGTGTGCACATTGTGATCTATGATGTAAGTGTGTGCACATTGTGATCTACAATGTATGATTTAAGTGTGTGCACATTGAGATCTACGATGTATGATGTAAGTGTGTGCACATTGTGATCTACGATGTATGATGTAAGTGTGTGCACATTGTAATCTATGATGTATGATGTAAGTGTGTGCACATTGTGATCTACAATGTACGATGTATGATGTAAGTGTGTGCACATTGTGATCTATGATGTAAGTGTGTGCACATTGTGATCTACAATGTACGATGTATGATGTAAGGCACATTGTGGATTGTATGATGTAAGTGTATGATTTAAGGGTGTGACATTGTGGATTGATGTAGTGTGTAATATTAAAGTTACACACTTGTATGTTAAGGTTATACTTACCGTACATTTGTCTGGTCAAAGTGACAAGGTACTACTTACCGTACATTTGTCTGGCCAAAGTGACAAGGTACTACTTACCGTACATTTGTCTGGTCAAAGTGACAAGGTACTACCTACCGTACATTGTCAATTGTTTGGTTTATGGAAATTCTCCATATAAGAACCTGTAAATGATAGATCTTGTATCAATAGATTTAACTATAAAACATTTGTACTTGTTGTAGACATTTGATGAGTGTGTGGAGAAAGAAGGCAGTGACTGTGATGCTGAACATCTTTGGCTACAGATCCCGTTCTTCTGTGGGCAGGACGCAGAGTGTTGGTGAGTGTTGGTGAGTAATGGTCACTTCTGGCTACAGATCCCGTTCTTCTGTGGGTAGGACGCAGAGTGTTGGCAAGTAATGGTCACTTCTGGCTACAGGTCCAGTTCTTCTGTGGGCAGGACGCAGAGTGTTGGTGAGTACTGGTCACTTCTGGCTACAGATCCCGTTCTTCTGTGGGCAGGACGCAGAGTGTTGGTGAGTAATGGTCACTTCTGGCTACAGATCCCGTTCTTCTGTGGGCAGGACGCAGAGTGTTGGTGAGTACTGGTCACTTCTGGCTACAGATCCCGTTCTTCTGTGGGCAGGACGCAGAGTGTTGGTGAGTACTGGTCACTTCTGGCTACAGATCCCGTTCTTCTGTGGGCAGGACGCAGAGTGTTGGTGAGTACTGGTCACTTCTGGCTACAGATCCCGTTCTTCTGTGGGCAGGACGCAGAGTGTTGGTGAGTACTGGTCACTTCTGGCTACAGATCCCGTTCTTCTGTGGGCAGGACGCAGAGTGTTGGTGAGTACTGGTCACTTCTGGCTACAGATCCCGTTCTTCTGTGGGCAGGACGCAGAGTGTTGGTGAGTACTGGTCACTTCTGGCTACAGATCCCGTTCTTCTGTGGGCAGGACGCAGAGTGTTGGTGAGTACTGGTCACTTCTGGCTACAGGTCATGTTCTTCTGTGGACTGGACACAGAGTGTTGGTGAGTACTGGTCACTTCTGGCTACAGATCCCGTTCTTCTGTGGACTGGACACAGAGTGTTGGTGAGTACTGGTCACTTCTGGCTACAGATCCCGTTCTTCTGTGGGTAGGACGCAGAGTGTTGGTGAGTACTGGTCACTTCTGGCTACAGATCCCGTTCTTCTGTGGGCAGGACGCAGAGTGTTGGTGAGTACTGGTCACTTCTGGCTACAGGTCATGTTCTTCTGTGGACTGGACACAGAGTGTTGGTGAGTACTGGTCACTTCTGGCTACAGGTCATGTTCTTCTGTGGACTGGACACAGAGTGTTGCTAAGTACTAGTCATTTCTTGCTACAGATCTCGTTCTTTTGTGGGCAGGGTGCACAGTGTCGGTGAGTAATGGTCACTTCTGGCTACAGTTCATGTTCTTCTGTGGACTGGACACAGAGTGTTGCTAAGTACTGGTCACTGCTTGCCATAGATAAGTGAGCTACACATGTCCGTACATTGTACATTCTAAGTGAGCTACAAGTACGTATGTATGATACTGTATGCACTAAGTTAGTTACTTATATTTATCTCTGTTTCCAGGAATCCAGGTAGTCAGTGGGCGCTGGAGAAAGCTAAACTCAATGTTGTACAGAACTACTTGTTGGTGGGGGTAACAGAGGAGCTTGGGGATTTCCTGGCAGTACTGGAGGCAGCCCTACCCCGATACTTTAGAGGAGCCGTCCAACTGTACAGTTCAGGTATGTCTCCCTGCTGTAAGGCCAGGGGATATAGAATGTATCTCTTTACCTGGAGTGGATGGGGGATATAGTTTGTGTCTCCCTACCAGGATGGTATAGTAGATATAGAATGTGTCTCTCTATCATGGGCGGCCAGGGGATATAGAATGTGTCTCTCTATCATCGAGGGCCAGTGGATATAGAATGAGTCTCTTTACCTGGAGGGGATAGGGATATAGAATGTGTCTCCCTACCATCCAGGGCCGGGGATATAGAATGTGTCTCCCTACCATTCGGGGCCAGGGGATATAGAATGTGTCTCCCTACCATCCGGGGCCAGAGGATATAGAATGTGTCTCCCTTCTATCCGGGGCCTGGGGACATAGAATGTTTCTCCCTACCACATGGGGCCTGGGGATATAGTTTGTCTCCCTACTATACGGGGCGTGGGGGATATAGAATGTGTCTCCCTACCATCATAGGGGATTTAGAATGTGCCTCCCTACCATCCGGGGCCAGGGGATATAGAATGTGTCTCTCTACCATCCGGGGCCAGGGGATAAAGTTTGTCTCTCTCCTCTACGCGGCCAGGGGATATAGAAAGTGTCTCCCTACCGTCCCGGGGCCAGGGGATATAGAGTGTGTCTCCCTACCGTCCTGGGCCAGGGGATGTAGAATGTGTCTCTCTACCATCCGGGGCCAGGGTATATAGAATGTGTCTCCCTACCCTCCGGGGCCAGGGGATAAAGTTTGTCTCCCTACCATACGGGGCCAGGGGATATAGTTTGTGTCCCCCTACCAACCGGGGCCAGGGGATATATAATGTGTCTCCCTACCGTCCAGGGCCAGGGGATATAGAGTGTGTCTCCCTACCGTCCAGGGCCAGGGGATATAGAAAGTGTCTCCCTACCGTCCCGGGGCCAGGGGATATATAATGTGTCTCCCTACCGCCCGGGGCCAGGGGATATATAATGTGTCTCCCTACCGCCCGGGGCCAGGGGATATAGAATGTTTCTCCCTACCCCCTGGGGCCTGGGGATATAGAATGGGTCTCCCTACCGTCCGGCGCCAGGGGATAAAGTTTGTCTCCCTACTATACGGGGCCAGGGGATATAGAGTGTGTCTCCCTACCGTCCCGGGGCCAGGGGATATAGTTTGTGTCTCCCTACCATCCGGGGCCAGAGGATATAGAATGTGTCTACCTACCGTCCGGGGCCAGGCGATATAGAATGTGTCTCCCTTCTATCCGGGGCCTGGGGACATAGAATGTTTCTCCCTACCGTCCGGGGCCAGGGGATATAGAATGTGTCTCCCTACCGTCCGGGGCCAGGTGATATAGAAAGTGTCTCTCTACTGTCCGGGGCCAGGTGATATAGAAAGTGTCTCCCTACCGTCCGGGGCCTGGGGATATAGAATGTGTCTCCCTACCTGTGTAATCTATTTTGAGATTGATCTGAAAAACAAGATTTTTTTCTACGATTTTGACTTGCTTTTTTTCTGAAAATGCTAGAGGAACCTTTCTCAAATTCCACTTTAAAGCTAATAAAGAAAATCATATCATTTCCAGGAACCAGAAATCTATTTTGTTCCTTTCCTTTTTACAGATTCATTATGTCAAACTCGTTTTGAAAGGACAATGTCAAACACAGCAGTATAAAGTTTTGATCGAAACTTGAGTCGTAAGCATTTACTGACTATCAATCTAACAACATAAAAATTGCTGGAAAAGTGATAGTGAAATAAATATGTGTGAATGACATTATCTGACGTGAAGTTGTTGATTTTTAGGGAGGAAGTCACACCTACGACGTACAGCCAATAAGATCGTGCCCAAGCAGTCGTCCACTGCCAAGGTTCGCAAGTCACATATATGGCGCATGGAACAGGAGTTTTACAACTTTGTGCTGGAGCAGTTCCATTTTGTTAAACAATCAACTTTTGAGTCAGTTAATGGAAACTATGTGGAAAAAGGAAACCACTTTCACTACGAGAAAATTAGACCAAGGTGAAACCGACTTCTTCGTAGCATCCATAAATCAATTCCAATTTTGTGATATTTCTGTCTCACTTCCATTTTTGGAGAAAAAAGTCATTTGATGTTTAACAATGTTTTGTGTGGTATATACGTGTAGCTGTCTTGAATTGGAGGAGTTGTTTCCCTTTGAATGAGTGTAGAAAATACAGATCTGTGTCTAATAGTTGTGATGTGACCACAAATGTATTGTATGACTATGGTTAATAGTTGTGATGTCATTGAAAATGTGTGAACAGTAGTTATGACATCATCAATATGTATGGTCAATACTTGTGATGTCATCAAATATGTATGGTTAATACTTGTGATGTCATCAAAAATACCGTAAATTTGCAGGTATAGTGCGCACTCGGGTATAGTGTGCAGGTACGTTTTTGGGGTCAGATTTGAAAGAAGAAAAAAAAAATGAAAAAAAGATCCTTAAAATAAACAGTATCAATCTGGAAAAATAGCATCAAAGTAAGCTTGGTGTTTATAACGCCGATTAATGAACGATTGATTGATTGGAGTGAACAAGCCTATGAAGGTCTCCCTCCGTACCACTTGGAACGAGTGGATGATGGACGAATCCTGAAGAAACCAAACGAAGAAAGTGTAGCCAATTCCGATGCCGGAGAATCGCCGATCAACTTATGTTTCGACATCTCAGCGGTTTTCCCATAATTACGAAAATGTAGTGTTTCAATTATAGGCTCCATTCCATATAAGTTCTGTTTTATTTTTTTACCAAATCGCTAAGCCTAGTGTGCATGTTTTTTCCCGGCTCACTTTAATGTTGACATGATCGATAACCTCGTGAGTTATTTTAAAACGAAGCATCATAAAAATAGTGTATTCTGCTTTAATCTTTTTCCCTTCGAGGAGATTTGAAGGGGATGTGTTGAATGTCCACGCTTCTAGTATAAACATATTTTTTATTATCCCTTTACGGTCAAATCAGTCTGTAGTTCTAACAGTGCAGTAGGGCTTCACGTCACTCGTGAGGAGTGAAAACAACACTGTCCCTCGATCGCGACAGCAAATAATTTCAATTAAATTGCAGTAGAGCTATTGTTAATCTGTAATCACTGATAGAGTGTTAGCTAATTACTTCATTATAATTTGTATTAACCCTTTCACCCCTAAGTAACTTTAGTAGACTCTTCCATGTATTGATATGGGTGAGTCTATTATGGTTTACAGTGGTGAAAGGGTTAATTGTGGTGTTGAGAAGCGTCAATAATTTTCGCTGAAGCATGACGATCCTACCTAGCCTATTGTCCGGGACCTGACGGCATCAGTGGTTATGCACTCCGGTCAACTTACATGTAAAAACGCTACCTGTGCCCAGCTAGTGTTTGTCGCCAAATCAGCAGTCATGACCGCAGATTACCAATTTTAATCATTTAAGAGAAAGTAAAAAATTGTGTTGCGAAAGAATTTCATTCTTTGTTGTTTTTTAATCCTCAATCTTATCATATATGACCTACAACTCCAAATAAAACTATTTGAAGGTAGGTAATCCAATATGGCAGACCAGAAACTCGAGAACGATAACCCAAGAATGACTTGTTCCTGCGTATAGTGCGCACCCCCTTTTGGACATGAATTATTTACCTAAAAAAGTGCACACTATAAGCGCAAATTTACGGTATATGGTCAATAGTTTTGATGACATCAAATTGTGTGAACAGTAGTTATGATGTCATCAAATATGTGTGGGCAATAGTTGTGATGTCACCACAGATATTAAGGATACCATATCATGTGTTAATTAAGTGCTAGTCAGACAGTGGTATTAGATTAAGTATAACTGTTTATATTTCTCATACTGAAATGTGTAGTGTTCAGTGATTAGACCCAACTTCTGATGTTCTGATCAAGTGTGTGCCACCTACAGCATGTGCTTGAGTACTGTTAACAGTGGCCAGTTTGTGGGCCAGGGGGGTATGTGCTGTAATATTTACTGTTAACAGTGGCCAGTTTGTGGGCCATGGGGGTATGTGCTGTAATATGTACTGTTACCAGTGGCCAGTTTGTGGGCCAGGGGGGTATTTGCTGTAATATGTACTGTTAACAGTGGCCAGTTTGTGGGCCTGGGGGGTATGTGCTGTAATATGTACTGTGGCCAGTTTGTGGGCCGGGGGGGTATGTGCTGTAATATGTACTGTTGACAGTGGCCAGTTTGTGGGCCAGGGGGGTATGTGCTGTAATATTTACTGTTAACAGTGGCCAGTTTGTGGGCCTGGGGGGTATGTGCTGTAATATGTACTGTGGCCAGTTTGTGGGCCAGGGGGGATGTGCTGTAATATGTACTGTTAACAGTGGCCAGTTTGTTGGCCAGGGGGGTATGTGCTGTAATATGTACTGTTAACAGTGGCCAGGTTGTGGGCCAGGGGGGTATGTGCTGTAATATGTCCTGTTAACAGGGGCCAGTTTGTGGACCAGGGGGGTATGTGCTGTAATATGTACTGTTAACAGTTGCCAGTTTGTGGGCCAGGGGGGTATGTGCTGGAATATGTACTGTGGCCAGTTTGTGGGCCAGGGGGTATGTGCTGTAATATGTACTGTTAACAGTGGCCAGGTTGTGGGCCAGGGGGGTATGTGCTGTAATATTTACTGTTAACAGTGGCCAGTTTGTGGGCCTGGGGGGTATGTGCTGTAATATGTACTGTGGCCAGTTTGTGGGCCACGGGGGTATGTGCTGTAATATGTACTGTTACCAGTGGCCAGTTTGTGGGCCAGGGGGGTATGTGCTGGAATATGTACTGTGGCCAGTTTGTGGGCCAGGGGGGTATGTGCTGTACTTTAATGTTGTTCCTCATTGAATTTGGTATTATTGATGTATAGATACCACACTGTATGTTAATTAAGTGCTTGTCAGTCAGAGATATCAAATGTCAGGATGACTGTTTATATTTAACCTGTCACTCCTGAGACCTGTAGTGTTCAGAGATAAGACCAGACATCTATGTCCCAATTAGCCGTGTGCCCCCTTATGTACTGTTTTAGTGTCAAGTTATTCCAATTTGTAATAACATTCAATTTTTAGGTCACCTGAGACAAAGTCTCAAGTGACCTATTGCGATCGCCTTTTGTCCGTCGTCGTCCGTCGTCCGTCGTCCGTCGTGCGTCCGTAAACAATTTACATTTTCGACTTCTTCTCCAAAACCCCTGAACCAATTTCAATGAAATTTTGCAGGGACCTTCCATGGACAAAGGTCAACAAAAA